AGTTGGGCGAGAGCAACTTTGGTAAAATCTACAAAGGCCACCTGTACCTGCCAGGCATGGAGCAAGCTCAGCTAGTGGCCATAAAAACACTGAAGGACATCTCAAGTGCACAACAGTGGGGCGATTTTCAGCAGGAAGCATCTGTCCTGGCAGAACTTCATCATCCCAATGTGGTTTGTCTGCTGGGTGTCGTGACCCAGGAGCAGCCTGTCTGCATGCTCTTCGAGTTCCTAGCTCAAGGGGACCTCCACGAGTTTCTCATCATGCGCTCTCCCCACTCAGATGTGGGCTGCAGTAGCGATGAAGACGGTACCGTCAAGTCTAGCCTCGACCATGGAGACTTTCTTCACCTGGCCATTCAAGTCGCAGCCGGGATGGAGTACCTCGCAAGCCATTTTTACGTCCACAAAGACCTTGCGGCAAGAAACATCCTGGTTGGTGAGCAACTTCACATCAAGATCTCCGATCTTGACTTGTCAAGAGAAATCTACACCTCAGATTATTACCGAGTCCAGCCCAAAACGCTCCTTCCTATTCGCTGGATGCCACCAGAAGCCATCATTTACGGGAAATACACAACAGACTCTGACATTTGGGCCTTCGGTGTGGTTCTGTGGGAGATCTTCAGCTTCGGCCTGCAGCCCTATTATGGTTTCAGCAACCAGGAAGTGATGGAGATGGTGCGGAAGAGGCAGCTGCTGCCCTGCCCGGAGGATTGCCCCCCTCGCATGTACATGCTGATGGCCGAGTGCTGGCAGGAGGGTCCCACTCGACGGCCGAGATTCAAAGACATCCACGCCCGACTACGTGCTTGGGAGGGTCTGTCTTCCCACGCCAGCTCCAGCACACCATCAGGAGGCAACGCCACCACCCAGACTACCTCTCTGAGCGCCAGCCCCGTCAGCAACCTCAGCAGCCCGCGCTATGCCGGCTACATCTACGGACCTCCACAGAGCCTTGTACCGGGACAAATCGCGGGCTTCATGGCAGCGCCGATGCCTCAAAACCACCGTTTTATACCTGTAAATGGATACCCTATCCCAACAGGCTATGCTGCCTTCCCTGCTGCCCATTTCGCTCCATCTCAGGGCCCTCCACAGATGGTGCATCACGGCCCTCCGCCGAAGAGCCGGTCACCCAGCAGCGCCAGCGGCTCAACCAGCACAGGTCACGTAACCAGCATCCCCTCCACAGGCTCCAATCATGACGCCAATACTCCTTTGCTTTCTCATTGTGTCACACTGACACCCATGACAGCAGTGTCAGGTGGCACAATGCCAGTTTTTGGACATATGGCACAGAAGACTATGCAAATAGACCCAAGTCAAGCAGTGCTGCTGGCTGACACTAACAGACTGATGTACAGTGAATCCATCATTACTGCCGATTTGTGAATACATGTGTTGTCCTGTATATTGATTTATTGAATTATTGATATTTTAATGTTTTTTTTCTTCCTTGTAAATATGAAATAGCCTGAACAAAATGCGAAAGTTTATATTTTGTTGTTTTATAAATGTGTTTTAAAGGAAACTTGTATATTCACAAATTCTCTGTGAAGTTCATGCCACTTTTTCAACTTAGTATGACTATACATGGCCTTAAAATGTCCTTTTTTTCAAACAGAACTTTGAAATCATGCTCTTTCAAGGTTATTTTCTACAGAGCTGTGGGTTTATCACCAGTTTTGTCTGCTTTTTCACTCATCGACGACTTCCTGGAAGGCTTCAGAATGTCTTGGTCTCTGTCCCGTCGTTGCATTTTGGACTTATTGAATCAGTTAAATTGCATTAATATTGCGTTGAAATCCAACCCTATAGCCGACGTTTCCAAATTAAGGTAATAGTTTTGCAAAAATATATCACTGATGCCTTAACATGAAAAAAAATGTTGCTTTAATTATAGCCACCATATGTTGCCTGCATGTTATTATAAATGTAGGCATTTGTACATGTGGGAGAGAATGTGTTCTGTGACATTCTTCTGTTACTGTGGTGGCATTCAAGTCATTTTAACACAAGAGACACACCAGGGCTGCGTTCGCTGTAAGCCAATAAGCCAGTGACTTCTCAGGCAACATTTGCGTTTCTAAGGTACATCCTGAAACTGATTTCAGCAGGCTTCTGAAGTGGCATAACGGTCTAATGATCTACAACAAAATAGCGAGAACTTTGGTGCTAACCAAGCAAATATTTAAATACCATAGTAATAATTTCTTGCTAGGAATTCAATTTACTTATTTTGTGTTCAGCAGAAGAAAGAAACTCATCCAGGTTTGGAACAACTTGAGGGTGAGTAAATTATGAAAAAATATATTTTTTGGGGGGGGATATTTAATAATAATATCCCAAAAATTAGGATATTTTGAGTAAATGAGTAAAAAGCTCACAATATTGGGCAGAAACCTACATTTATACACAAACTCACTACTGCCTTTCAGATGTAATTCAGTTCAACTGTCATGGAATCGCACACACAGAATAGCGGGATATCATAAGCAGATGAAGAAATCTCAGTTGATAGGATGTGACACAATCATTGGATTCAGATGTGCCTTTTTGCCTTCCTACCTCCGTATGCCACATTTTTCATCTTTCGGACATGGCCCAGATTATTTATATAATTTTTTTGTCATTGAACAATATAGACGAAATTCAGGCAACCAGAAAACATTCACATGATTTCTTTGTATATTCTATATGAACCCAGAGCATATATTAATATTTTAAACTGTCAGGATAACATTTTATTTGTCTAAACGAGTCGTCAAATTTTCACATCACTGTTTGGCAAAGCATATGTGAAATCTGTCCTATAACTGATGCAGAACTTTTTTTTTTTTTTTTTTTTTTTACTATAAACTCCTCACTACCTATAGACTGTAATGTCTAAAAATTCCTCTAGAGGTCAGTGTCACGCTGCGACTCTGATTGAATGAAGTTCTTTTTATTTGTCTCATGTTACTGTACGTATGTGCCTGCAATTTTCAGCTTTCATTTGATGTTTGTTAACTTTATTCTCTCTCTCTGAGTTTGTAGCTTGTTTAATCTCTTAAACTTTCATAGAAACGGAGATTAAACAAATCACTTTAGTAAGCAGCTGTCATGTTCATTCACATTTTGGTTTGTTGCTATGCAACTGTTTAATTCAGCGACACCCTTTTCCTGTGTTGAAGACAATCAAGAATTTATCTTTTATGCAGGGTACAGTGTTTGTGAAGACATGATTGCTTGTGACCTATTAAAATGCATTTTGGACAGTCTCATGATGCGTCATGACATTTCATGAACAGCCGTTATGCATGAAAAACTGATTTGTAGATCGATGGTTTATTTTTATATGATTTGTCACACAATTTTACATCAATAATGCAGTCTTATTATTGTACGTCTGAACATACAGTGTGTTGACATTATAAAAGCCACTTAAAGAAACAGCTTGGTTCAATGTCATTTCTCTTTCAAGTGTTCTGTTGTGATCTCATGTCAGTGTGCATCATTAACATATCTTTCAAAGGTTCTCTTCATGTTTTATGTATAATATTTTAAGTTAACTGCTCTCATATATCACATGCCACAAACAGACCTCAAATTAACATTAAATCAGGTTTATTGCAGACCGTTTCACATATGCCACCAGAAGAGGGCAATGTAGTGTTAGTTTGATTTCAAACATCAAGCTATTCTGGGGACGTGCTCTCCGACTGTGGCTTGTCTATTAAGGTGTACTTGTTTTGACTATACTTGTGAGGACCAAACGTCCTCACTTATATTGTGAAATACTTTAACAACACACTAGTGAAGACATTTTACTGGTCCTTACTAGTTAAAAAGACTTATAAATCAGCTAAAATATGTTTTTATTGAAATCTAGTGTTCTGCACATGGTGTGTGTGTGTGTGTGTGTGTGTTTGTGTGTGCGCGCCGTATTTTGGGGACAAATTTGTATCTAGAAGTAAGTTAAACCTGACAAAATCTTCTAAAATCTCTTTTTGGGGATGTCCTCATTAATGGTAAACAAAGTTAAAATAGTAAACATGCTAAAAGTGTTCGGGGTGTGGGTTAGGTTATAATATATAATATTTAACTAGCTGTATATAAAAAAAAACGCGGAAAAACATGCAAGAAGTTTATGCAATGTGCCCATTTAGCTAGGTAAACATGCGTGTCTGCATGTGAATGTTTTACATTATAGTACTGCACGCATTTCAAAGGTACGTCAAACAATTTTCATTGGCACTGGATAAACAAATCTTTTAAAAAGACTAACAAGTCCAGCATGCTTGCCAAAGGAAAAAGAAAAGAAATGATGTGCGCATGACTTTATGATTACTCCCATAAAGACTCGATCTCAACCAGGAGAAAAAACTCCTGACCTTGAACACAGAACATTCAGCATTCAGAGGAGAGGGGTTTGATGTTTGGAATGTTTTTGATCATTTCTGCTCTCCGGTTTCTTATCTGGAATAGTCCCAGGAATGGCCATCCAGTCTCTGCCTCTGGAACGCAATGTGAAGGTATAAATCCACACCAAAGTGCCATTTATGAAAGAAAAATATAACAATAGGCTACATATTATTCCAAACGCTTATGATTAAGAGTATAGGGACGCTCACCTTCTTTAAATGAACCATATTTAAACATATATTAAATAATACACATAATTAACATTATATGATTACAGTGATGTCTGATACAATAGGGATCCATGTGATTTGCAAATAGTAGGGCTGTGTAAATGACAGACTATGGTTGTGGTTGTGATTGGGCCTGGCTTTGAATGAAACCCCATAATGGCAGATGGGTTCCAGGTGTGTGGTTGATGATGGGCCAGGGGTGGATCTGGGCATGACAAGAGCCAGTGAACCTCTGGATGGGCGTTCCAAGATGTGGGTGGAGAAAAGGAATGGCAAAAGTGCTTCCAATATGGAAATGATGTATAAATGGCATCTATGCTAATATTAGTCTGTTTCATTCTTATTCCGAGGTCACCACAGCCACCCAGATCCAGACCAGATGGTGGATCAGCACCTAGAGACGACCTCTACAGACCTGAATGTCAGCGGAAACCATGACAACTAGATGAGCCCTAGAGACAGATCCCCTACGAAGACCTCGTCAACTCTAAAAATGCTGAGTTGTGTCAAACCAACTTTGGGCCAAATATGGACTATCCCAGCTGTTGGGTTAAATTTTGAAATTACATTTTTAACCCAAAAGTTGGGTTTGTCCATGTTTGACCCAAAGCTGGGTTGAAACAACCCAGTATTTTTTAGAGTGACGACAATCAGCACAAGACCAGCAGCCTGGAATTAAACCACACCATGCTGGTTTCCGATGGAGTTTTGGTTCCTTGCCACTGTCGCCTTTGGCTTGCTTAGTTGGAGACACTTAATTCTGTCAATTTTGTCGGCTTGATTGCTCAGACACTGTTGGAAGAGAACTAAACTGAGCTGGATGATGACATCACTGAATCAACAATGAACTGACTTTAACTGAAAAAAACTGACTGTTTACTATTGTCCTCCTGCATTATCGGCACACTGTTTTTCTGTTTAACACTGTAAAGCTGCTTTTGACACAATCTGTATTGTATAAAGCGCTATATAAATAAAGGTGACTTGACTTGTTAAATATAGTGAATATAGTGACGTATATGCCAGGCTAAACAGATGAGTCTTCAGTCTAAACTTGTGTCTGAGTCAATATTCCAAATGTTAAGTGTCATTTGAACAACTCCTCCTTGTTCCTCCTTTTGTACGACCAAGTTTTACATGCGTTTACATGTAAAATAGATATTGCGACTACGGATCGACTTCGTCCAGTGTGCATGCTCTGAAAGACAAACGTACCGTTTATTTATCCGTCAAATATTTGAGTATTGTATCTTGATGACTATATCTTGACTTTGCAAAAACACGCTGTTCCTCAGTTGTAACTGCACATGTAAATGTACTTCTGGTTATTGCTTTTTTAGCAGAAAATGTGATATTTTTCAGTTTTACAAAGAGTGCACAAAAAAAGTGCAAAACGTGAGTTAGAACAGTGAGGCATGATAGCAGATATGAACTATGGATTGAGTCCAAGTGAGGTACAACATAAGATAAGTATATCAATACCCATCCTATATGGTTTAGGATGAACTTAAAGAATGTATTCATAATGATAAATTATTCAACTTTACCTGTATTCACCTAATGCCAAGTAGAAGAAAATTTTATTGAAAATGCGAATGCTAGCTGGAGAACTATAACAAGATATTTTATTGTTTTTTTTAAAGCTGTTACACTATGAATAATGTGATTTATACAATTGTAATTTTATTTGACAGTTTTTCATTCTTTCTTATATTGATGCAAATTACCCCAACTTGTAGGCCTATTATGTTATTGGGGGTAACTCCTCGTTAACATAAATTCTTGAAGTCTTTTAAAATGGCTGGAATTTAAACTAGAAAGATGTGCCCATAGTGTGAGTTCTAGACTAACAGAAGTTATTTATGTTTAAGGCTGGAATACACTACACAACTTTTAAAATGGGAACAGATTTAATAATACTGGGCATACACTTGCTGACTTTGTAAATGGTTACAGGGAAAAACTGGACATCATAAACGACTGAAGATCACACACTACTAGTTTCAGGTAATTAAAAAAAAAAAACTCATGCAGAAATGTGCACATTGCTAGACGACATGTGAGAAATGAAAATATGTGTTCTAAAATCACCTCAAAAACATGTTTGATATCCTCCGACTGAATGCAATCATAGTCTGAAGCTAAAAATCAGTCTTGCTGAAGTCTTGTAGTATTCCAGAAAGTCAAATGCTGGGTCGGGTGAAACTAAATGCTATATGCTAATTTATTCCTCAATTTGCTATCACATCTTCAGGTTATCATTTGCTACAAAGGATACAGCTGGAATGCCAATCTTCACTGATCATCTACACACACACACACACACACAAACACACACCAGGTGAAGTCCAAGAACTTTGTCACATCACAACCCCACCCCAATGAAATATAGATGAAGGCCTAAAATTTTGATAAGCCCCCAAACCATAACTTGTCAGTCCTGTGAGCATTCAAAATAATCCTTTCAGTCTCCCCTCAGTTTAGCTTCTCTTGTTTTTACAAGAAACAGTGAGAAACAGCAAATCCTT